GCTTTATTCACAGGCTCCACAATTTATACAATTTCCCATGCAAAGGGTTTCCTGAGTCCTATCCCAGGGGTATTCCAGGAGTGGACTACGTGGAGAACTTAAAGTACAGAGCATTCCTCTCATCAGGCACTGCTGCACGAGAGGGATCCTCCCACTGGAATGTACCGTTAAGTTGATTATCCCTCCGTACAGCAGAACCGCCAATTTATATTAAAAACACATAACTTTTCGAATATCAGGTTGATTTGCATGAATGGACGTTCGGTAGATAGCTGGGGTCTGAGCCCATCATTCGTGAGATTACCGCTCAGATCCCAGCTAAAACAACTGAACGCCGCATGAAAAACAGTCACCAAAACATGCATTCAAAAGACCGATTGGCATATGGGGAATAAAATACAGAACGGACCGAAACTCCCGAACGGCCTGGAAGTCCAGCGGTGTTCGCGCCGTTGAGTAGCAGTTTTTAGTACCACGCGCTCGACGACCAAACACCACTGGAGGAACAAAGGATCCAAGATGGACGACGGCCCGTGGTCGGTAGTCGAACGACGGCCACCTAGGAGAGCCTCTAATTAACAAGCGCCACACGTCTCTCAGGTTGGTTTATTCGGTTCATGAACGGCCCGCAAAAGTGCCGTTCGTAAAAACAAAATGAAATACAGCTATCTGCTTTTGGCAGATAGCCAATGCAGGCAATACAATGTTATACACAGTCAGCATACATTACACCCAGAAACATACATATCCCCACAACCTGACAGGCAACCCTTAAAGCCATAGTCTCTGTATAATGTCCAAGTGGCTAGGTTTGCCACACCACCCATTACCAACAATTCACCAGTAGTCTGGACAGATGCAGCAGAGTCAATAGGATATGCAGCCATCTGTGGCAGCGATTGGGTTCAAGCAAAATGGCTCCCTGAAACATCATCCCTAGTAAATTTCAAGGAAACATCTGCACTTTTAGAATTTTTTCCAATTGTAGCAGCTCATGTTCATAAATGGAAAGGGAAAGCAGCCAGATGTTTCTCAGACAACTTATCAGCTTGTAACTAATTAACAAAAGATGCTCACATTCCCTAAGAATTATAAATCTGATAAGGAAACTAACATGGACACTAATAGACTTATGTTCTGAATGGTTTTCATTGAATAATGGTACCCGACGGGGTTGTCCCCTCTCACCAATTTTATATGTTTTATCTATGGAACCTCTTGCTGAAAGGATAAGAATAAGTCAATTTATTAGCGGAGTCCCACTAATCAGGAATGATTTAAAGTTATACATGTATGCGGATGATACCTTAATAAATCTGACTGACCCTGTAAATTCGGTTAAACATTTAATGGATGAGATATCATTGTATGGCAAGTTCATAAATTATAAAATAAATAGAGAGAAAACAGCGGCAATGTTTAAAAAGTGTGATAAAAAAAAAAAAATTAAGAAACAAAATTATGAACTCCTATAGATTTACTGAAGTAGAGAGTTTTGAGTACCTGGGAATTTTGCTTGCCAACAAAGTAGAAAAAATAATGAAAGTGAATTTTCTGAGAACCATTGGATGAGCTAACTGTACTTAAAAAAAAAAAAAAAAAAGGGAACATTTTATGATAAGTTGGTTGGGTAAAATTAATATAATAAATGCGTATGTTCTCCCCATATGGACTTATCTTTTTAAGATGTTACCCTTAAAAATCCCTTATAGTTGGCTGTAAATTATTCAAAGAAGTTTTAGAAATGTTGTATGTATGGGGAAAAAATTCGGATTAGATTAAACTACTTGAGTAATAACCCAAGCCAGGACTCAATTTCCCAAATATCAAAAAACATGAAGCCAGTTTAGTTTATCATATACAGACTCTAAAAGAGAAATGAGGGAAAGAGGATGGTTTCGACTAGAAACAGACCAACTGAATATAAAATATCTGAACAAAATTATATGGCAGAAAACTGGGTATGGAAAATAAAAAATAAATAAAAAATAGCATTCTGATTCATATTATTCCAAAAATGGTCTAAGATTAAAAAAAAACCAAAAAACCAGAAACAAAAAAACGATGCAGTGTAATGGAAAATATATGAATTTATGGAATTGGAGATTTTGGAATATCTCATAGATTACATACATGGAAAGATAGAAACATTAAGGTAATGGATAGTTTGATGAAGAAAGGGAAATGAAACCTTTTTCAGCTTTAGTAAATGAATACGATCTCCCCAATTCTGAGCTATTCCGTTATCTAAGAATTCAATCATAAAAATTTTAAAAATTTTGAATGAAGGACCAAAAAAAATGTTACTCTTATGAAACAGGTTTTTGATCCAATGGCAACCTCTAAATTGTTATCGAAATCATATGCTTTAATATTATCTACACTACAAAAGAACCGGTTGAAAATGTTCATTAAGTGGAAAACAGAACTTAATATTAAAATCAAACATACTATATAGGGGGAAATATTTTCTAACTAAATAAAAATATCCATAATATATCTTTAAGAGAAACTTTTTATAAAATATGTAACAGATGGTATATTGTACCAACAAGATTGTACAGAATAGATTCTAATGCCTCAAAGATGTGCTGGAGATGTATTGAAAGGGTAGGCAGTTACATACATATATGGTGGAACTGCCACAAATTTTGAAATGCTGGCATTCAGGGCCAGGGATCGCAGGTGGCTACTTCCTCTTTCTCTCCAGTGTTTGGGAGATTGACAGCTGAACGCTTCCATGGAAGCGTGTGGAGATGCTGGAAATTGTGTACCTGGCCTATGCTGGTGCAGGAACCCACCCTCCGAGCCACTTGTGAATGACTGGCCTGATAACCATGGAAATGACCCCTCTTCCTCCTCCTCTTCCATCATCGCCCGAAGCATTTTTTCAAGGAGACATAGAAGCGGGATAGTAAGGCTGAGAACGGTGTCATCGGCACTGGCCATGTTGGTGGAGTACTCAAAACAGCGCAACATGGCACACAGGTCTCGCATGGAGGCCCACTCATTGGTGGTGAAGTGGTGCTGTTCCGCAGAGTGACTGACCCGTGCGTGCTGCATCTGAAACTCCACTATCGCCTGCTGCTGCTCGCACAGTCTCTCCAGCATGTGCAAGGTGGAGTTCCACCTTGTGGGCACGTCGCATATGAGGTGGTGAGTGGGAAGGGCGACAGGCAAGCAGCAGCAGGGTGAGAACGGCGAAAGCGCGCACAGACGGCACGCACTTTCTGCAGCAGCTCTGATATATATGGGTAGTTTTTCAGGAATTTCTGACCCACCAAATTCAGCACATGCACCAGGCAAGGGATGGGCGTCAAACCGGCTAGGCCCAGAGCTGCTACAAGATTTCGCCCATTATTGCACACCAGGCCGGACTTGAGGCTCAGTTGCAAAAACCACTCATCGGTCTATTCCATGCCCATCCACAGCTCCTGCATGGTGTGGGGTTTTCCCTCCAAACATATGAGTTTTAAAAACAGCCTGTCATTTCTCCCTGGCTGTGCTGAAGTTGGTAGTGAAGGTGTTACGCTGACCGCATGAGGAAGTGGTACAGAAGGAGGCAACAGGAGGCAAAGCTGTGTACCCAAATAAAGATTGTCAACTGTGTCCCATCTTGTTACTGGGGAAATGGGTCTGACCTATTCTAATAAAAGGGGATAACCATCGGTTACCCAGTTCCCACTTCAATTGGTGGCAAGCGGCAGGATCCCATTTCCCTGCCAACAGACCCATGGACTACAGTGCTCTAAAGCAACCTACACTGCAGGACTTGTGTGGAGCCAGAGGAATAACGCCTGGTGGGTATAACAAGGCTGAATTGACTGCTGCACTCATAGAGGATGACTATGCATGCAGTAAGGCAACGAACCCCAGCCAAGGGCCGGAGATGAGGAAGTGCACAAGGAGGTGGAACGGCGCCTGCCATATTACCAAGAGCCACCTTCAGAGGAGATTGTCAGCAGGACCTTTTTGGAGGTGCAAGCCTATGTCCTTGCCAATAGACAGAGGGCAACCTCCATGAACCCAGATGAAGGAAGAAGGGAGCAGAGGGCACCTGGATCCACAACCACCCTGGCCCACAAGCATTGAAGAAGGCATCGATGACTTTTTACAAGACTTTGAGCGCCAGTGCCAACTCCAAGACGTGGACCCCAGCGACTTTGTCACCATCCTGGTCCAGTGGGGAAGGCAGCGGATATTTACCAGACTGTACCGGAAGAGCAGATCAGAGACTATCCCTTTATTACCCAAATCCTCCTGGCCCGGTATGCGGTCACCCCCGAGCAATACCACCAAAAGTTTAGGAAGACCTGGAAAGGGGAGAAGGACTCCCATGCGGAGTGGGCATGCCGCATCACAAGGGCCACCCAGAACTGGCTCAACTCCCATCAAGCCAAGTTCCCAGAGGAGATCACCCAGCTCGTCATGCTAGAGCACTTTTTCAATGGGCTCCTCAACGACACGACTGGTGAGAGACCGCCAGCCCCAGACCCAAGAAGTATTGGTAAGAGCTGCTGAAGCTAGCTCACGATATCCCCTTGGCAAGGCATTTGGACAGGAGCCGGACAACATCTTGGCTCACCCACAGCTTCTTCTGGCCAGGCATCTCTCAGGATCTGAGGCAGTACTGCCAGATGTCTGCCAGAGAGTGGGGAAGAGATGTCTGCCAGAGAGTGGGGGCACAGGGCCCCCTCATCCATCCTCTACCTATTAGTGAAGATCCGTTCGGCAGAGTAGCTGTCGACATAGTTGCGCAGGCACTTTGGTGACTCTAGAGAACCTCGGGACAATCGCACGTCCCCGTGACGGCGAGTTTGCATTCAGATGTCTGCCCTATCAACTTTCAATGCCACTTTCTGCGCCTACCATGGTGACCACGGGTAACGGGGAATCAGGGTTCGATTCAGGAGAGGGACCCTGAGAAACAGCTACCACATCCAAGGAAGGCAGCAGGCGCGCAAATTACCCACTCCCGACGCGGGGAGGTAGTGACGACAAATAATACAGGACTCTGTAGAGGCCCTGTAATTGTAATGAGTCCACTTGAAATCCTTTAACTAAGATCAATTAGAGGGCAAGTCTGGTGCAGAGCTACTGACCCGTGCATGCTGCAGCTGAAACTCCACTATCGCCTGCATGTGCAAGGTGGAGTTCCACCTTGTGGGCACGTCGCATATAAGGCGGTGAGCGGGAAGGCCCAAGTTAGGCTGCAGGAAGGCCCAAGTTAGGCTGCAGAAAGCGCGCACAGCCGCTACAGTGAATGTCACATCCTGTTCCAAGTTGCGGATCAGTCTGGTGATGGCTTCTGGTATCCAGTACTCTTTTTACTGAAGTTGCATTGTGGCTGCACAAATGCTGGTGCTCAACACCACGGGGCGTGCGGTTACCCTGCACCAGACCCTGCTAATCCATTCCATACTGTGACTCCTAACTTCAACATTAGACATACTGGGTCCCGGTCACCGGACTGCGAAAGGCTCGTTAAATCTGTTATAGTTCCTTTTATCGCTCCATCTGTTACTTGGATAACTGTTGGAATTCTAAAGATAATACATGACGACGAGCGCTAGGGGACAGATGCTCCACTTTTGCACCCTGCTCCCTCTTATGCTGTGCTGGTGCCTCATCATCCTCCACATCATCTTCCACCCACTCCTCAACCCTGCCCTCCTTGCCGGTCTGTACACTGCAGAAAGCCACAGCAGTTGGCACCTGTGTTTTTCCAGCATGTAAACTCTGCAAAGGACATATTGGAATTTTAGAATTGTATCCAGGCAACAATTTTCCCTATAAACTGACCTCTCAGTTTGACTTTGAGGGTATTGCCCCCAAATTACAATATTATTATATTGGTATTTGACGGTTCTATTTGACTGTCAGATATGAAGTGCAGGCCACAAATGTACTATTTAGCACCCCAAACAAATTTGAATTGGTCAAACTGCGCTGTAACCATAGTATTTGATGGTTCTATATGACTGTCAGATATGAAGTGCACCACAGGACGCAAATGTACTATTTAGCACCCAAAACAATTAGAATGTTTCAAAGTGCACTGAAAGCACAGTGTTTGACGGTTCTATTTGACTCTCAGATATGAAGTGCACTGCAGGACGCAAATATACTATTTAGCAGCCAAAAAAATTTAATGTTTAAAAATGCTAAGTCACAGCACTATGTGACGCTTCTATTTGACTCTCAGATATGAAGTGCAGGGCCAAATTTACTATTTAGCAGATTAGCACCCAGAAAATAAGAATGTTTACAATTGCACTGTAACCGCAGTATTTGACGCTTCTATATGACTCTCAGATATGAAGAGCACGCCCCAAATGTACTTCAAAGGAGCAAAAAAAAAAATGGGAATTTGTCAAAGTGCGCTGTAAACGAAGTATTTGACGCTTCTATTTGGCTCTCAGATATGAAGTGCAGGGCCCAAATGTACTATTTAGCAGATTAGCACCCAGAAAATAAGAATGTTTACAATTGCTCTGTAACCGCAGTATTTGACTCTCAGATATGAAGAGCACGCCCCAAATTTACTATTTAGCAGTTTAGCACCAAAACAATTACAATTTTTACAACTGCGCTGTAACCACAGTATTTAAACGCTTCTATTTGACTCTCAGATATGATGTGCAGCCCACTAATGTACTTTTTAGCACCCAAAAAATTTTAAGTTTTAAAATTGCAATGTGACAGCAGTATTTGACGCTTCTATTTGACTCTCAGATATGAAGTGCACACCCAAAATGTACTATTTAGCACCAAAAAAAATGTGACTTTTTAAAACTCCGATGTAACCACAGTATTTTACGCTTCTATTTGACTCAGATATGAAGTGCACCCCACTAATGTACTAGTTTGCAGAATTCTTTCCTAATCTGTCCCTGAAAGCGGCAGCATCCTCTCCCTACACTAATAAGAGCTCATGTGACGTGCAGCGCTACGTGACTCTAGCATATATAGAGGCTGGGTCACATGCTGCACTGGCCAATCACAGCCATGCCATTAGTAGGCATGGCTGTGATGGCTTCTAAGGGCACATGAGTCAACACTTGTTGATTGGCTGCCCTGCAGCCTTTCAAAATATGCCATTAAATCGCCGAACACCAAACTCCAACTCGAACATACAGTGATATGTCAGTGCTCAGGTCCAGGGTCCAAAAAACAAAAAAAAAAAACCACACACACAAAAAAAAAAAAAAAACTTAATGTTCAGTACGAACCCGAACTTTACAGTCCAGGTTCGCTCAACTCTACTCACTACCTTACTACAAGGGATGCTGTTTTTTAGAAAGCCCTTATTAAATTAACATAAGTAATTAACGTTAGCTTAGTCTTGGAGTAAAAAAGTAAAACTTTACTACAGATTTCACTATCTGATTGCAAAGGATACTATTTTGTTAACAGCTTTAAAAAAAAAAAAAAAAAATTTTTTGTATATCACCGATTTCTACAGATGGTACACAGAAAATACAAATTTTTTTTAAATAAAATATGTAAAAATTCATTTAAAAAATGTGAAAAGCACTCTCCAACTTGAATAACTTGTTTAACCTATCCTCATATGCCACAATGGGCAATTGTACTGTGGCCAATATTGTGAGCTGAGCACCTAACAAAGGCTTTGAATGCTTCCACTCTATCAGAAGCAGTGTTGTTTTTTTTGGTATATCACTAATTTATACAGATAGTTAGCAGACTATATTTTTTAAATAAAATTATTTTTAAATAAGTTTAACAAACGTAAAGTATGAGAAGCCCAACCCAAATAACTTTTCACACAGTCACAAAAACCATTATAAAACCCGTTCCACAGATGCCACAATGGGCACGTATCGAAAGTGCAGTAATCAGTTTAAATGACAATAAAATAAATTATTTTCATTTTGTATTGTAATCTGAGCACCTGAATGCTTCCACTCTCTGTCACCAAGTGGATATAAATGGCTGACAGAGGGCGGGACAGACGGAGAGTGGGCTGACAGAGGACCGGCTGAGTCCAGGCTGACGGCATGTAGAACTTCATCTCGCAATCTCTTAATAAGATCGCGGCCGCACGATCTCTGCTGTTTCCGACCCCCTGGGAAGAGCAGGGAGCGGCGGCCATCTTGGATGTGGCGATAGATGTCGGAACCCCAGTTTTGTTCTCGCGGAACCCTAGGAAAAGTTGGAATAGAGCATACTGTATGTTCATGAAAATGTATCCCATTTCAATGTAATAAATGTGTTCTCTCGAAACCATAAATATAAAAGAAACAAATTGAAACCAATGTGGCTTAGTAGGGAAGTAAAATAAGCGATTAAAAATTAAGAAAAGGCAAGTAAAGTGGCTAAACTAGAAAATTAACTATTGATAGCCAAATAAAGCAAAACCAACCACTAACATTTGAGTACATCAATTCTAAAAAAAAAAAAAGTATAGGTACACTGGAAACAGATAGGTCTGTTAGTTAATGAAGACCAGGAAAAGGCAGAAATTTTAAATAACTATTTTTCTTCAATATATATTAATGAGGATCCAATTGCAAGAGATATGCAAATTATTGCTGCAAAACACTTGCAGATAACTTGTAATTGGATGACTCAAGACAAGGTGCTACAGCAGTTAAAGAAAGTTAAAGCAAATAAAGCCCCAGGACCTGACGGTATTCATCCACGAGTACTTAAGGAGCTAAGTGGAAAATAAGATTTTTGTTTCAGGAATTGTACCGGAGGATTAGAGGAGCCAGATGTTGTTCCTATATTTAAAAAGGGTTCAAAATCCTTGACTGGAAATTAGAGACCTGTGAGCTTAACTTGTGTTACTGGGAAAATATTTGAAGGGCTATTAAGGGATAATATTCAGGAATTCATTGGGAAGAACTTTGTTAGTGGCAATAATCAGCATGGTTTTATGAAACATAGGTCATGTCAAACTAACCTAATTGCATTCTACGAAGAAGTAAGTAGAAGTCTAGATCAGGGTGTTGCAGTGGATGTGTGTGAAGGAATATCCCCATCCTTTCGTCTGTTTTGTTCAATTCCATAGTCATTTTGTCTATTTTTTTTCGGTTCCCGAACAGAGAACACCCCAGAATCTAATTAGAACATGGAATGTTATGTATCTGTACGAAAACCGCAAAGGAAATTATTAATCGAATGCTCCACTGAGTGGCTGCCATTTTGTACATACGAACACACGTGGCTGAAACAATGGATCCCATCTTGTCTCCTGGCAGCGAGACTTGGTCATCGAGTGCTTGGAACTGATTTCGGCCAGGCACTCTCATGAACACCGGTCACCATTGACCCACGGCTCGTTCTAGTTCCATCCCACATATCCGAACGGCGTTCGGGAGTTACAGACTAACAAACATGGGGAGCATTCGACACGAACCAGTTTTCATCTATCTTATGTGGTTTTCGTACAAAACCCCATGAATGAAGCTCTTGCCACCATTTCCATGGAACTATTTTGGGCTTACTCCTCGTGGCAGACCGGTCAGAACTTCCCTGCGATGGCGATTGAAAACTACCAAATGGATCTAGGTGATTTTTGGATATATTGTTCGTCCAGATCCAATCTATCCAGGGATGTGACTTTTGTGGGGTTCCCCTGTATTTTAGGGGTACTTTTGGGGTGTTGCAAAATTGTGTATTTTTTCTATACTTTCTTACTGACTCAAATATCTCTCAGTCACAGAGGAGGAGTTTATGCACTGTATACATTTGATGCCTGTACTGGCATTAAAAAAATAAATAAAGAAAGAAAACAAATAAAAAAAACAACAGTCTTCACCCAGCATTAAGCCTTGGCTCATGTGTGGGGGGTTATTTTATGCCAGTGGCCTATATGTCTATGCACACTTCCCCAGTGGTGTGTAAAATATATATCTTGAGTATTAGATAGGAATATAACAATAAACAAATTGCATAAAATAATCAAAATGTATTATGTTTAAAACGCAAGTATTACTAACTGTTGCTATAAATAGCTACGAACACAGTAAAATAAGTGATCACTTCCTCCCAGCACTTGTGAATGGGAATCCACACTGTAGTAGAGCAGCCCTTGACAGCTATCGCAGCTCCTGTCCTTGACCTGTACCTGGCCAGCCTGGTCCCCACTGGAACC